AAAAACGCACAAACACACACAACTGCGTGTGTGCAGCTCCACACTCATTATTAGTTATCACTATGCTTCAAGACAAGGCCTAACAGCTGTTAGGTGTGTTAGCCATATTTTTTTGTACTGATTGTTGTTCAAAGCTAGCGCCTTTTTGCTCCAATTCTTCTCTCTGTAGCTTGAAGAAGCATATAGAATAAAGCGGGGGAAAAGGGGAAAAAAAAATAAAAAATAAAATCAAATTGTGTAGCACATTTTAGACTTTTATTAGTGGAGGAGGTGAAAAAATACCCGAAAAAAAGGAAAAGGGGAGGATAAAGAAAGGTTCTTGCTTTCAAAATCTACATTATTGGAGAAGGGTTTTGGTTCATTCTGGCTTTATGGGCTTATTGAATATGGCAGCAATGTGCAATGCGTTGTTTCTTGTTGTGGTGGTTTTGTTATGCTCATGGGTTTCTTTTGGAGAAGCTTCAGTTTCATATGATTCGAAGGCTATCTCTGTAAATGGGCAGAGGAAGATTCTTATTTCTGGATCCATTCACTACCCAAGAAGCACACCTGAAGTATGTTTCGAAATGTGTAGTCTTTTTAGTGTTTATCTATGTGGTTATTTTTTATTTCATTTTACTGTTTCAGTTTCATTATATATATATAATATATATATTTTCTGGGTCTTTTTCAGATGTGGCCAGATCTTATTCAGAAGGCCAAGGAAGGTGGTGTTGATGTGATTCAGACTTATGTTTTTTGGAATGGGCATGAGCCTCAACCTGGGAAGGTTAGTTGTATATGTGTATGTGTGTGTGTGTGTGTGTGTGTGTGTGTGTGTGTGTGTGTTTCTATCTTTATGAAATATTTTATCTGTGAACTATAATTTTCTTGTGATTAGTTCTTATTTTGTTTGCCTAGTGATTGGAGTTAGGTTTAATCCCTTTTGTCATTTTTGCAGTATTATTTTGAGGATAGGTATGATTTGGTGAAGCTTGTTAAGCTGGTTCAGCAAGCAGGTCTTTATGTCCATCTCAGAATTGGTCCCTATGCTTGTGCTGAATGGAATTTTGGGTAATAATACAAATGTGAATGCAAAAAGAATAGTTCTGTATAGAGCACATTTAGTGGAGACAATTTGAGATAAATCACGACTAATCTGTTATATTCGGCTGCAGGGGTTTTCCAGTTTGGCTGAAGTATGTTCCAGGTATAAGTTTCAGGACAGATAACGGGCCTTTTAAGGTAAACAAAAGTTCTATATTTGTGTGGCATATGAATTTACATTTCTTAATAAACATATTGTTAATTTAAGTACATCCTTATTTCATGAAACTAATCGGTCTATTGTTTTTGCTGCAAAAAAAGGAAGCTATGCAAACATTCACAACCAAGATTGTGAATATGATGAAAGCTGAAAGATTATATGAAACTCAAGGTGGCCCAATCATACTATCTCAGGTATCAATTCTTTTTTTCCCCTTCACTTTCATATGTAAAAGATGGTAAATAAAAAAAATTTAATACATTTTGTTTTGTTGTGGTAGATTGAGAACGAATATGGACCAATGGAATACGAGCTCGGTGCACCAGGCCGAGCTTACACGGAATGGGCTGCAAAAATGGCTGTCGATCTTGGCACTGGTGTACCATGGGTCATGTGCAAGCAAGATGATGCCCCTGATCCAATTGTAAGTATTTATTTTGTTTTATTTTTATTTATTTGATATATGTGGTGATTAAAACTGTTATTAAAGATCATGTCATTTTCTTGCACATGGCTTTAGGGACAAAATGTCTAATTCTATTCCATAATCTTAACTCAATCTAGCTGTTAATTTTGAATATTCATAAATGTGAATTTGGTATGTCATCATTTAATTTTGATGTGAAGTCATTTTGTGTTCTTTGTTTTTTGCAGATTAATTCCTGCAATGGTTTCTATTGTGATTACTTTTCTCCCAATAAAGTCTATAAACCCAAGATGTGGACTGAAGCGTGGACCGGCTGGTATGTATTTCAACTTTTGATGAATGTTAATAATATTCACTCTTGGGAAAACAGGTTTTTCTTTTTTATGTTAATGTTATCTTTTTTAGGTATACTGAGTTTGGTGGTCCAGTCCCTTACCGTCCCGCCGAAGATTTGGCGTTTTCTGTTGCTAAATTTATTCAGAAAGGAGGTTCTTACATTAACTACTATATGGTAAAGATGACCGTTTTTTAGGTATTTTCTGATCGACTGCATGTATTGTTATGAATTAGCTAAGCATGATTTTTTTTCTTTTTAGTACCATGGAGGAACAAACTTTGGCCGGACGGCTGGTGGTCCGTTTATCGCGACTAGCTATGACTATGATGCACCTCTTGATGAATATGGTAATAAACACACAAAATTTTCAATTTGAGCCATAAATATAATTTATGTCAAATCACGAGCATTTCATGTTTATTATCTTTCACATAAGATACAGTACAAAGGTACAAAGCTCTTCTTCTGTTGAAAACAATAACATCCTTTTTTTTTGTTTTTTTCTTTTTTCATGTGTAGGACTTTATAGGCAGCCCAAATGGGGTCACCTGAAAGATTTGCACCGGGCGATCAAGCTCTGTGAGCCTGCTTTAGTATCTGCAAACCCTGTTGTTACACCACTCGGACGTTATCAAGAGGTTATACTTTTTTTTTTGTTACTATTCAACTCATTCTTTTTTTATCTCCTTTTTGTGCAAAGTGAAAACTTTAACATTTGACAACACCTTCATTAATTCTTACCATGCATGCAGGCTCATGTTTTCAAATCGAAGTCCGGTTGTGCTGCTTTCCTTGCAAATTACAATCAACATTCATTTGCAAAAGTGGCTTTCAGTGGACAACATTACAATTTGCCCCCTTGGTCAATCAGTATCCTCCCGGACTGCAAAAACACTGTTTACAACACAGCAAGGGTATGAAAGTAACTTGTGATCTTCCGAATGAGCTTTTAGGGCGTGTTTGGATACAAATATATCCCTTCAAAACTAATTTTTTTGGTTAACCTAAGTTAATTTTGAAAAAAGTGGTATAGTTTGTTGTTAGTGGGATTTTGAGTTTATATTAAAATAATACTTAAAATAAAATAATTAAAGTTGGTGTGATATGTAAGAATGATTGATTAATATTATTTGATTATATTGATAATATTGAGGATAGTGGAGTTGAATTAAAGTTGAGTCAGAATTTGAGTATGAATTGAGTACGGATTGAATTTTTTTATATACATACACACCCTAATCTCTATTTACTTCGAATTCAAGTATCTTCCAAAATTACGTATACACGAACTTTTTGTCCTTTGAGGGGTCTACATTATTTTCAAAGTTGATGTTTTTTTTTTTTTTTTTTTT